AACTAACTTCCACATTTCAATATGCCCCTGACTTCTAAGGGGTGTTTTTATTTGTGACTACTCCCAACAGCCTAGAATTCTATCAGTACAACATCACATTTTTCTTTTCTGTTTGCAGGAAGAAGATTTGGTGTTGATAGAGGAGGCAACATCTTCAAGGCAAAACCTTAGACCTCATTCAACATCATCCAATGTTGCAATCCCCCTCAGGAGGTACACAAGCAAAAGCTAAACTGAACATTGTCAATTATCGATACCTATTTTACAAAATTTGCCTTGCATATATTTTTGTCTTTAATGTGAAGGCACTTAAAGCCCAGTGGCCGATATGCACAGGAACATTTCCAGTGTCAGAAGTAGAACTGCCATGCCAGCCTTTGTGGAGAAAGGTAATGGAAATAGTGACTCACATTAAAGCTTAAAAAACACCTAAAAAGGGTCCGTGCTCTGATTTGTATCATATCTCATGGTAACCTACCTGACTATGTTCATTACATTGGTTCAAATCAGTACATTGCAAAGGTCATAGAAAAAAATCATATGAAATGTATATATACACACACACACAAAGTTGTTTGGAAACATTAAGGTTTTTTTAATGTTTTTTTGACATAAGTCTCTTCTGCTTATCAATGCTGCATTTGTTTGATCAAATATACAGTAAAAACAGTATTATTGTGAAATATTATTACCATAACTGTTTCCTATTTGAATACATGTTCAAAATGTAATCTTTTTCTGTGATCAAAGCTAAATTTTCAGCATCATTACTCCAGTCTTCAGTGTCACATGATCATTCACAAATCATTCTAATATGCTGATTTGTTGTTCAAAAAACATTTATTATTGTCAATGTTGAAAGAAAAACATTTTTGGATTCTTTGATGAATAGAAATGTATATGAAGTAGAAATAGTTTCTAACAGTATACATGTCTTTACTGTCACTTTTGATCAATTTAATGCATCCTTGCTGAATAAAAATATACATTTATTTAATTTCTTTCAAAAAAAAAGTCTTACTGACCCCAAACTTTTGAACAGTATTTATTGTTGCAAAATCTTTATATTTCAGATAAATGCTTAACTTTCTATTCATTAAAGAATCCTGAAAAAAAAAATGTACACAAATGTTTTCAACACTGATAATAATGTTTTTTGAGCAAAAAAAATAAGCATATTGCTACATTGTGACACTTAAGACTGGAGTAATGATACTATCAATTTTGCTTTAATGTTTATATATATCAGAATCAGAATCAGAAGAGCTTTAATTACCATGTTTACACACACAAGGAATTTGACTTGACGACAGGAGCTTCCAGTGTAGAAGAAAGTACAAACATAGTGCAGACATACATGATAGTGCAGACATACATAGGAATAACACAGTAGGGATGTAATATAACACTAATATAATAAAAAAAGAAAAATTAAATAATGTACTATATACAGAAATAGAAGTATAGGAACAAATGTAATTGTTTAGATAAATGTACAGATATGTTTATTAGTGTGCAGATATGTTATTTACAAAGTGTGAAGTTTAATATAAATATAACTATGTTAGTTGTGATGGACGATGTATAATTATGAAAGATTAATTGTTCAGACTGAATATAGCCTGTGGGAAAAAACTGTTCTTGTGCCTGGCTGTTCTGGTGGTCAGTGCTCTGTAGCGCCGACCAGAAGGCAACAGTTCGAAGAGAGAGTGGGCTGGGTGTGAGGGGTCCAAGGTGATTTTTTTAGCCCTTTTCCTCACTCTGGAGATGTAAAGATCTTGGAGGCTGGGCAGAGGGGCACCAATAATCCTCTCAGCAGTCCTGACTGTCCG